CGGACATCTGGGCAGTCGCAGACGCGTGGGCCATGTAACAACACAGCGAATCCAAAACAAACCTACATGTCCCTACAGGCATTGGGGCTAGAGCCCGCCAGCGGTCGGGCCGCGAAACGCGAGCACATGTCAGATATTAGGAAGACGGTGGCATGGGGGTACAACTGGCGATTCGAAAAATCACGATCCAAGGTAGTTGCCGGGGCCTCGGACAGGATGTCATGGCCTGTCGAATGACAGTCGACAGGCCCATGACACCGCGGGCAGTAGGTCTGGATTTCGAAGGCCAGCGCGCACCAAGCATGCAGCGCAGGGGCCAGCATCGACTGATTGAGCTAACTCGAAGAGTTCGAACGAAGAGATCAGATGTATATCGGGACAGACTATGTAGCTATTGTCGAGGGTCTGCCTCGCCGAATGACTGCCGACGACAAGTTAGTTCGTTCCCGCCGAGTGAATGACTGGGAAGGTCACGGGAGCTGGCTGGGCGAAAGAGCGGGAATTGGCTGGGTCGAGTGCGGGCAAGATGAGAGCGGCAATTGGCGCGCTTTAACTTGGACCAGAAATGGCCGCGGCATCTCTCGCCCACTGCTCCCCGCGCAGCTCAAATGCCTGCGCCGCGTTATTTGGGGCTCGATTGGGCGCCGTCCTGAGCTGTAAAAGGCATGGAGATGAGCGCGCAGTGTCGCCGCTGGCTTCCCCTGCCGCGCTTTCCAGACCCGGCCACATCAGTGGATTTGTGGTGCGTGCCAGCGCCGGGGATGTTTGGAGATTCCAGGGGCACGCTTTGCGCGTGGGCGCGCAGCAGAAAAGCGCCCTGTTACCAGGGATGACATATGCGCGGCTCATCGCGAAGAGGGGGGCGCACTGGCCTGGGGCGATTTGCGAGGGAGCGAGCTCGATCTAGATCTCGCGCCAATGGCGCGGGATGAAGAGAGCGACGAAACAGTGAGAGACGATAAATGTCGCGCTATTGCCGCCCGAGCTCCCATAGGTGCGAGGTGGAGCGGTATCAACGTGGGTGACACTGCCATTCCTTAGTTCCGATCCCGGCTGGTGGCTCAGCAAGCTAAGTACAAGTCCAAAGGAATGACCATATTTGCAGCCACCCATCCATTGGCAGCACGGGGTCTGCCGATCTCCATGCCTGCGGAAGCTACCCGGTGAATAAGGCATGACCGATGGGGAGCGCGAGGAAAGACTCGCGCTTAGGTCTATTGGCGCGCAGTGGGCACGCTTGTGCGCCAAGGCCAAAACAGAGGGGCTTCGCCGATTACCCGGACAAGATAGCGGACCATAGTGTCGGAGTCTACGCACGGCGCCAGGGGCGCCGCCAGCAACGGGGAATACTGTTACGCGGTTGGGCGTAATCTTGTTTTGGACAGAGGTGGCGCGTGACCTTGTGCGTTCACTGCGACTTCCGCGACCGGCTCATGGCGGCAGTTGCATGTCCTGCGGTAGAGAAATTGACCATGATGGGAGCGAAGGAGAAACTATGCGCGCATCTGAAGATTGAATGCGTGGCCGACTCGAACCAGGGACGCACTGCGCGAAGTCAAACAGTGTTCTGAACCGGACAGGGGAATCGAAGTGGGATGGATTATGGCACGAGGCTGGTCAAATTAATGTTGTTATGTTTGTCAATGAGGTAGGCTTGGGACCGTGCGCAAAGTGAGATGCGAGATTCCGGGGTGTCTGTTACCACGCGAACAAAATATGAGGCACCATGGCCACATCAATCAGCTATGTCATGTTAAGAGACAGCAGCCAGTGGATTTGTTTGCGCACGGGGCCGCTTGGATGTGCAATTTGCAGTTAGAGAACTTGCGCGTTCCATGTCAGCCCCAGATCGAGGGGGAATGGCCAATTCTTACCATTCTTACTAGACTGGGCAATTTTTTCAGGGACCACCGCAGATGTGGGCATCAGTAGTTGTATCTAGCACGTCCAGCGGAGTAGCTGAATGGCCGGACTCCGACTATGCAGCGCGCAAGAAGCGCTACCTTCGACAAGCGGAGGTGAGGTGATGTATAGATAACATATTGCCAAGCCGTGGGTTTCATTCCAAAGCTTGATGGTATCATATTCAGGAGAGGCGGAGCACCGCGGAAAAAGGCGAAAGGGTGTTCAGTTGCGTCAGGAGCGCAAGCAGGCCTCAAGGATTTCGATGTTGATTGTGACATATCGTGAACATTCGGTGCGGGTGCCGCCATTGCCATTGCGAGCGCGCGAGAACTCGGATAAGTATGACACATCGAAAACTGCCAACCCTGGTTACAAGAGAAGGCACGGCCAGGGGACACTCATTTTGTTAAAGTAGGAACTCACAGGATTCCGCATATGTTTGGATCAAGTACATGTACGATGGTGCATATGCGAGGTACTGACCAGCACGTGGTTCGAAGAAGACACGACATGGAGCCATGCACGGAGTCTTAGTTCAATGTAGTCCATGTCCAGGACTTTGGCAAACCGCCGTGCCCGGATTCCTGATCTGAGGATCAGTTGTGATCCAGGTGCTCGTCTTTGCGATCCCAAACAGGTATTACAGAAGGTGTTAAGAATGATGCATCACCTGGTGCTTCGCGACTCCTGAAGCGAGCGCATCGCGTTTTAGGAACCCGGTGCACGCTATCGCCCAAAACGTTGCCGCCTTCTGATTGCAGCAGTTCTGTTTCCACGTACTTCACTACGTGACTTCAGTTGCTAGGGTGGTTTCTTGTTTCAATGTGCTGTCCAATTGTTTAGTGTTCCATGTCTTGTTTATATTGCGCCCGTCCCCAATCCCGGCTTACGCATACGTACCATATGTTCTTGGTGAGGAAGAGCGGGAGTATGAGGATTTCGAGAGTAAGCGTAGCACTAGCAGCAAGGTTAGAACACGCACGCGCGCACACGTTTTGCGGTAGCAGCCTAGCGAGCGGCGACGGTGCACGTTCCGTACAACATCACGGGATTCGGTCCAACCCGCATCAGTCATCCAGGCGAGGATGGCGTGGAGGGTACACGCGATTCCGTCCAAAGCTCCTCCCTCGCCCTTGTAAACGATGCTCACATCGCGGGACGCGTTCTTTGCAATGACAAGCGCCCCATCCAGGGGCGCGCCATTCAGACGAGTGGCCCGTTCTGAACAGGACCGTCTCCATTCTTCTGGGCCTCAAGACATGGCAAGAAGGTATGGCCATACAGTTGAAGGGCATGCCCTGCGAATGCCCCGTTGATGCATGGCGTCCTTTCGCAATAGGTCCATGTTAAAAAATTCAGCCACGTCTCTGTTTGCATTAGTTGGGAACTTGCAAGGCGAATCCACGCAGCGCCCAAGCGATGAGCACATTGTGAAAACGGCTTGCCTTCCATCGGGGTAGTTGCCATAACTTCCTAGCATCCAGATCTGTGGGTCGGCGAGGAGGGCTGATTGTTGATTCTGTATACGGAACAGGGGTTGCGGAGGGGGGGGGGGGGGGAATTGCAGATATTTCGGCGCGGTTCTAGTCGGGCCCATGGGATTGGAACCGTTGTCAGGAGATTGAAGAGGAGGACGATCAGTCGATAAGTCCGGAAGGGGGGAGGGTAACAGCAGCAGGCGGAGTGGTCCATGCCACATTGTGGGTCCCAAGTAGACATGTGAAGGCCTTGTGGTGGTGGTTGTGGATACTTTACCACAGGGGAGGGACAATGTGGAGGAGCAGGTAGGTGGACGAGGAGAAGACCGAGGAGGAGGAAGAGGTCGCAGAAGGAGGGGGGGAGAACATAAGAGCGATGAGGAAGGATGAAGAAGAGGACAAGGACGAGGACAGGATGAGGAAGCGGAAGAGGAGAAGGATGGTGAGAAGCATCAGGGGGAGGAGCAGCCGCAGCAGAGGCAGACCGAGGATAAGAAAGACGGCGACAGGGAATGAGGGAAGGGATTCACTTTACGGTATCCTCCCTTCCGGCATGCAGGAGATAGTTCCAGGCCGTGCGTCTTGATCATAACGTCCAGCAATAGAAAAAAGGAAGCGATGGAGGGCGAGGAGGGGCACGACGGCGAAGACAAGGGCGCGGAACCCAGACCTCCGACGTCGTGACCCCCATATCCAGCGGCCCTTTCCCGCCGACGGGTTCTCCTGCCGGCCTGCACGTTTGCCGCACAGGCTTCCCTTGCTCCCGCGGGGTGGAGCTGGTGTTGTGGCAGCGCAGCTCCTCAAGGAGTCTCTCGTGTCGCTGATGTTTGTATATCCCACTTATGCAGACTGCTGGCTTCAAGTGGTGTCGCCGTCCGAGGCAAAACAACTCCTGGTCCGTACCCTTCCTCCCCCTAAGAGCCTTCGGAAGCGGCCCTCCGTGAGCCCGAAAGCCGCAAGGAAACGCAGTCGCGCTGTGCTTACGTTCTCCCAAGATTCTGGAGGCCTGCCAGGCAAGAGGTCCTCCGAGGGCGCGGAGCAGTGGCCGCCGAAGCCTTGGCCAGGCCCAGGTCCGTGGCCCCTGCCCAGTGGTCGGCTGCACGCGAGGGTGTGGCCCCATCGCCAGAGTGGCCCTTTCTGTACGCGGTCTGCGGGGGGGGGGGGGGCGCCCGACGGGGTGCCCCCCGCTGGAGTCGTCGGACGCCGCCGTCGGTTCCTGGAGGTGCGTCCCAGCAGCTGCGCCTCGCCGGGAGTGTGCTGGCAGGGGGGGGCCTCGGGGTGCGTAACAGCAGCTGCGACTCCCGGACGGCTGCCGTGCTCTCGAGCTGTGTCCCGAAAGCCGAGTGACCCTTCGTCGTCAGAGTGACATTTGCTGCGCGGCTTCGGGGGCCGCGGGGGAGAAGCTAATGAGCCCGAGCACGCAGGCCACCACCCGGCGCATCCCACGCAGCGGTCGGCAAGCCGCGCGCCAAGGGCCCCGCCGGCCTCACGTTTTGCCCCGACCCTCCGTGCGTGATCCATGTTGGAGAGTGCCCCCGAGAGCGGCATCGAGCATCGTTCAAGATCTGAGCGCTCCTCGCCTGGGGGGGGGGGCACTCCTCGCGCGGCAGCCGAGAGGTGGGCATGCCCGCCCCTGGCCTGGACCTCGCCGCGTCGGCGGAGAGCCTGCCCTCGGCCGTCCGGGAGGCGCTCGCGGTGGCGAGCGCAGAGGAGCCCTGGCGGAGGTCGCCGCCGCCGCCGTCGCGTCTGCCCTCCGCCGTCGGGGTGGCGCTCGTGGTGGCGAGCGCAGTTAAAGCCCTGTCGGTGGATCGCCGCCGCCGCCGGGGCCGCCGCTCGCCGTCGGGGTCCCTGAGTCGGGCGGTCGGGTCGGGTCGTGTGTGCTCTGGGTGCCGGGCCCACGCCGAGGATGCACCTCGGAAGCTGGCTGATTTGGACGCTCGTCACTCTTTTGCGGAAGAAGGCCTCTTCAGCTCGGGGAAACAAATCCGCAAACGCAGGGGAAAATGCCATGGCCCCCGCAGTTGCGGAAACGAGTGAGGGGGTGGCGGGGTCGTCGGCAGTTTGCGAGGCTCTGGAGATTTGCGCCACAGGCGCCGATTTGTTATACATCACACGTTACCGCCACAGGCGTCGAATTCTCGTCAACGCAATGTGGGTTGGCCGCGGGTAGATCGGGGGTAGCTCACAGGTGGGTCGCGGGTGGATCGCGGGTGGGCGAGGACGACGACGACAACAAGCAACAAGGAACAAGCATAATCTGCGCCGCGGAATCCCACTTCAGCCACGCCCCCAATGGCGGTGTAAGACCGTTCGGTCCAGTCATTCTGACACTAACATCAGAACAAGCATCCTCAAGCTTTTAAACACATGATGACCCCCTACCCCCTCCCCTCAGATCCCGAGTGCCATTAATTCGCCGCCGAATCTTTTTCCCAACCATCCTGTGGTGTTGGGTCCTCGTCTTGAAGAGACAGCTCCTAGCATTCTCCTCTCCTCTCCTGTCCTCCTCCTCCCCCTCCTTCTTCCTCCCTCCTGCCATCCCTGCCTCTGCTTCGCGCATGTCCACAATTTCGCCACAACCTCACACGCTTCGTGGCCCCATGGGGAGCTCAACCTCAAGTCCCAGTTCACCAACTCGCTTACGTCCCGGTCACTCATTTCGGCACACATTCACACGCTTCGTGGCCCCATGGGGAGTTCCACCTGTGGTCCCAGTGGCGCAGTTCGCATGCGTCCTGGCCACTCATTTCGGCACACCCATCCCTCCTGCCATCCCTGCCTCTGCTTTCCGCACGTCCATAAGATCGGCACAGCCCTCACAAGCTTCGTGGCCCCAGAAAAAGCTCCACCGAAGGCGCCAGTGGACAAAGTCGCATGCGTCCTGGCCGCCCATTTCGGCACACCCTCAAACGTTTCGTGGCCCCATGGGGAGCTTCACCTGAGGTCCCAGTGGCGCAGTTCGCATGCGTCCCCGCCGTTCATGTCGGAACACCCCTCACATGTTTCGTGGCCCTACAGGGAGCTCCACCGAAGGCGCCAGTGGCGCAGTTCGCATGCGTCCCGGCCACACATTCTGGCACACTCCTTACACGCTGCGTGGCCCAATGGGGAGCTTCACCTGAGGTCCCAGTGGCGCAGTTTGCTTGCAACCCGGCCACTACACGTTTCGTGGCCCCATGGGGAGCTCCTCCTGAGGTCCCAGTGGCGGAGTTCGCATGCGTCCTGGCCGCCCATCTCGGCACACCCTCACACGTTTCGTGGCCCAATGGGGAGCTCCACCTGAGGTCCCAGTGGCGCAGTTCGCATGCGTCCTGGCCGCTTATGTTAGCACACCCCTAATATGTTTCGTGGCCCCATGGGGAGCTCCACCGAAGGCGCCATTGGCGCAGTTCGCCTGCGTCCCGGCGACCAATTTCGGCACACCCCTCACACGCTTCGTGGCCCCACAGGGAGCTCCACCTAAGGTGCGAGTGGCGCAGTTCGCATGCGTCCGGGCGCCTCATTTCGCCACACCCTCACACGCTTCGTGGCCCCACAGGAGCTCAACCTCAGGTCCCAGTTGCCCGGCTCGCTTGCGTCCCGGCCACTCATTTCGGCACACACTCACACGCTTCACGGCCCCATGGGGAGTTCATCCTGTGGTCCCACTGGCGCAGTTCGCATGCGTTTTGGCCACGCATTTCGGCACACCCCTCGCGCGTTTGATTGACCCCTTAGGGAGCTCCATCGAAGGCGCCAGTGGCTGCGTTCACATGCGTCCCGCGCCGCAAAGTACGGCGTTTCGTGGCCCCACAGTGAGCTCCACCGAAGACGATACCCACGGATACGGTACTCACAGCTGCATATGGATGGGTCCTTCGCCAAGCTAATTGTTGTTTGAACTGTTTCCACTCGGAACATGTTTCACGGAGACTGGAAGATGCGATTGATAAATGTTCACATGTATGTATGTATACATATCCATATACATGAATGTGTAGATACATATGCACGCACGCACGCGCAATCATTGGCAAATGTGTTTGAACGTGCATTGGCACGTGCGTCTGGACTTTGTGTACACACGCGCGCACGCGCCTCTGTGGGCCATCTTGTGATCCTCTTGGCGCCTTCTTGAAGCATTCGAGGCCTTCCTGGGACCATCTTGGAGAATGTCGACCACAGAGGGGGGGTCCTTAAGTAGGGCCGCCCGTCGGGAGCCCGGGAAGTCGCCTCTTGGGGCCCTCTTGGGGCGTCTTTGGAGCGCTCTTGGTCGCTCTTGAGGCCGTCTTGGGACCATATTGGGCCTCTCTTGGGCCCTTCTTGTGCCATCTTGGAGCCATCCTGAGCCCTCGGGAGCCCATCGGAAGCGAAAGGGCGAGAAGGCTCGCATCAGTGATTCCCTTTCAGATTATGGTCGGATTCTTGTGTCTTGGGGGCCTCCTTGGAGTCTCCGCGGCCACGTGGACCCGTCTTGGGGCCATAGTGGGGCCACGTTGAGGCATCTTGGAGGCCATCGTGAGCCAGTTTGGACCATCTTGCGCCAGCTTGGAGGCAATATTGGAGCACCTGGGGCCCTCTCGGAGCCCCTTCTGGAGCCCTCTCGGTACCAGAGGGGGTGCGGTGCGCAAGGGTTGGTCCCCGAGTCCGGTCTTTGTCCACGCCAGGGTCGCAGGGCCAAGCTGGGGCGGGGTTCTCTCGGCACCAGTGAGGATATGCATGGAGTGGTCCTTGAACGCGGTCTCGATCAACTCCACGTCGCAAGGCATGTCAGCGTTGCATTTTCGCGATTCAGAGAGAGTGCGCAGGGGGTGGTGCCTGAGCGCAGTCTCTATCCACGCCATGGTCTCAGGGCGTGGCAGGCGTGGCCTGATGCCAAGAGGGGGTGCACAGGAATCTGCCCCTGAACGCTGAGCGACAGGGCGCTCGCTGGGACGTCCCCGGCGGTCTGGTTTGCCCCACCTTTTTTTGCGCACTACAGCGTTGCGTTGCGCCGTTGCGTTGCGCCCGATCGAACAAGTCGGCCCTGTGCAGAGCTCGGGAGAAAGAACAAAAATGCGCCGTCAGAGCTGCACGTCGTCAAACCAACGACGCCGCGGCCGGCCTCTGGCACGATGCGGCCGGCTGTGAGAGCATGTCTAGCATAAAACGAATGTTCGACAGACGCTCCTTGCTTCCGTCCGAACAGACAGCCAGGCCATGGCCGTTCAGCGTCGCCTTCCACTCGCGGATAGCAGCTTCCAGGACACTGTTGAACAGGAGCGGAGATAGTACGTCGCCCTGTCTGACGCCCCGGGTGATAGGAAAGCGGAAATCATTACCCAAGACACCTGTTTGCGATTTGTACAGCGTTCGCAAGATTTGGCGACATCCAGAGGGGAGTCCCTGCGCTTGGAGAGCGCGGAACAGTGCCGGCTGTTCAACCCTGTCAAATGCTTTGCGCAGATCTACGCTGACCAGCCACAGGTCTTCGTTGAACTCGAGGCTCTTGCTCACGAGGCTTTCGGCAACAATCAGAGCGTCAGCGGTCGACCGGTCTCGATGAAAACCAAACTGCTCTTCAGATTGTTGCGAATCTAGAATGCCGCGTATCCTGTGGAAGACCACTCGAGCAAGGATCTTGTAAGAGACGCTGAGAATCGCGATCGGCCTCCAATTATTCGGGTCTGCGGCGTCCCCGCCCTTGTGCAAAAGTTTGAAGAAGGTCTCTCGCCAGTCAGCCGGAACGCAACCGTTCTGCAAAATTGCATTGAACATGTCAGACAAGTAGTGCAACATATCGTCTCCGCCAAAAAGGAACATCTCCAGCAACACGCCCTTCGTGTCAGCAGTTTTGCGTCGTCTCATCGTTTTGACTGCCTTCACAACTTCTTCGACAGTAACGGCTGGTACCTGGTCCACGTCATGCTCACCCGCGTCGGGCGGCACGCTGGACGTGTATATCTCCGACAACAGGTCGGCACATTTGCGAACATCTGGACCCTGTTGCGAAGATCTTGTGATAGGGAATCTGTGCAGCGCGTCCAGGCGACGAAGGTCACTGAAGATAGCGAGCACCTCAGTTGTTCTGGCTGTCTGTCGTGCACGAGACTCTTTCCGGCTCAGCCTCCAGATCTCCTTTGAGATATCCGTAAGGGCTTCGCCCCCTGCCGCCGGCCCCCTCTCTCGGAGAATGGGCCATGGAAGAGCTAAGTCATGAGGCCTTGGCGCTGTCGTGAAGCAGTATCGAAACTTCATGCGAAGCCGATTCGCAATCAGCAAAACCAACTGATCACAAGAGGGGTTACCACACCTGGCGATTGGTAAGACGTGTATGGTTTACGGGCTTGGTTACCACACCTTGCGATTAAAGGGCCGAGGGAGTTCTCGCAGTTTGGGACGTTGCTCGCAGTTTGGGTTACCACGCCTTGCGATGGACGTGCGTGAGGGGTGGCACCGAATTTCAGAAATGTGCCAAATCGCATGTGTTCTTGGACCCTGACCCCGCGGATCTGCATAAAGGGTGGCGCCGAATTTCAGAAATGTGCCAAATCGCCTGTGTTTTTGGACCCTGACCCCGCGGATCTGCGTGAGGGGTGGCACCGAATTTCACAAATGTGCCAAATCGCCTGTGTTTGTGGACCCTGACCCCGCGGATCTGCGTGAGGGGTGGCACCGAATTTCAGAAATGTGGCAAATCCCATGTGTTTTTGGATCCTGACCCCGCGGATCTGCGTGAGGGGTGGCGCCGAATTTAGGAAAGTGGCAAATCCCCTTGTGTTTTTTGACCCTGACCCCGCCGATCTGTGTGAGAGGTGGCACCGAATTTCAGAAATGTGGCAAATCCCATGTGTTTTTGGACCCTGACCCCGCGGATCTGCGTGAGGGGTGGCGCCGAATTTCAGAAATGTAGCAAATCCATTGTGTTTGTGGACCCTGACCCCGCGGATCTGCGTGAGGGGTGGCACCGAATTTCAGAAATGTGGCAAATCCCCTGTGTTTTTGGATCCTGACCCCGCGGATCTGCATGAGGGGTGGCACCGAATTTCAGAAATGTGGCAAATCCCATGTGTTTTTGGACCCTGACCCCGCGGATCTGCGTGAGGGGTGGCGCCGAATTTGAGAAATGTGGCAAATCCCTTGTGTTTTTGGACCCTGACCCCGCCGATCTGTGTGAGGGGTGTCGATTTCGAGCCCCCCCAGCAATTCAGACAACGCGCCCAGGAGGTGCTAAATATTTGGTTTGGGCCTCCCCCCCTTTCGCGCGGTCAATCAATTAGTTACAGTAACCAGCAAGAAGCAGAACTGTAACACTGGAAACTACAAGCTACAACTGGCACAGGAAACTGCGAACCCGCGCCTACAGCCTGGTGGCCCCACAAGGGGGGCGGCGGATCTCGTCCCTCGGCCGGGTTGGTCATGCATCTCCTCCTTCTTCGCAGACGGTCCAGATGGCTGCTCCCGTTGCTCTGCTGGGCGGGCGACCGGGGCCGCTGCGAGTCTCCAGCTGCAAGAAGAGCGATGCGCTCCACGTCGCCCAGAGATGCCGGAGGGAACTCCTGAGCGGCGATCTTCTGGGGCACCTTGGTGGCATACATCTCCCAATCAATGTCTTTGTGCGTCTGCCGGCGCTTCCGTCGACTCCTGTGCCCAGCCAACGCGGAGCTTGAAGGCACACCTGCACCGCCCTGTGATCTGAACCGAGGTCAAGCATGTTTGTCGGCTTTGCACTGTGGAAAGATGTGCAATTGCTGACCATGACGTAATGCAGACGGCTGAGTCGTCCGAGGCAGCTGCGGAAAGTCCACTGACACTCTAGAAGCTCATCCTCGACTACGTTGCAAATCACAAGATCCAGCTCGGCAGCGGAAGCTGATAATATTGCACTTCTCCTGCCTCTTCCAACCTCGGTATTGAAATCTCCGCCCAACACACACCGGTAGTCCTGGCTCTGGGCTTCGAGAACAGCAACAACGAATATCGCTCAAACACTATGAAATCGTCGTGCGGGTAACCGGCGTGCGGAACGTAGACGGCTATCCATCTGTAGGTGTACCTCCCAATACGTATGTCGCAATGTAGAACTCTGCCCGAAACGGCCTTGTAGTCGAGAACTTTGTCGACCCAGCGGGCGTGGATGAGCAAAGCTACTCCTGCAAATTTCTGTCCACATAAGCTGCTTAACAGTCTGTGTCCCCCTTGCAACAGGACATCCCCATGTGCGGCCCTAGCTTCGCTAAAGCAGATGCAGTCCCAAACGAATTCTCTGCACTCTGCCAACACCTCTGCAAGTTTGTTATCGCCGTTTAAGCGGGCATTCTTGCAGAACATCCAGAGCGATTGCTCCTGCACGCAGGCATTGTTGTTCGACCGGGCTGCCTCCTAATGCTTCCGCTTCACTTTGCCAACGCCTTTGGTTGGAGGGGCCCCTTTTGCCAGCTTCGCATCGGACTCAAGGCGCAGCTTGTCCAAATCCTCGCACGAAATTTCTTTCTTCCATTCATCGGTGGTGAACGTAACGACGAGCTTGGCACCATCAACTTTTGAAGACAAGACTGAATCGAAACCAACTTTCACACACATTGAATCCAAATCTGCCCACACCGACTTGCGGTCGTATCCCCACTCAGTCATCATGCGCTTGACGCTGAAAAGAAGCGACTGGTTCACACGTACATCCAAAGGAAGATCCCGTTTGGCCCAGACCTTGTGGGAGCCGTGCTGGATGCTTGCCTCCTTGAGGGTCTTCACTGCGATGTCCCGGTCGATTTTAGAAGTAAATTTGAAGAAGAGGATGCCGTTGAACTCGCCTTTGACGTAGTGGTCAACAGGATAAGGTGCCCACTTGCTCCAAAGAGCGTCACCGACCAACTTGAAGGCGTCGTCGGTGTTTCCACAGTCTTTCAGGCCGCCGACGACGGCAGTAAGAGAACGTGAATTGTCCACTGATGGGGTCGCTGTCGGCATGGACGTTGCAAGTTTGAAGTTCGCGAGCTCGTCCTCCAATGACTTGATGTGTTCCCAGACTTCTTCCTCCGTCTGGGACCCTGCGCCAGAGCCCCTCGAGTCGGTGGACATTGCATTCTCGATGCTCGTGATACGGATTTCGATGTCCTCAACACGAGTCTCTGTGGATGCCATTCTCGAGTCAAGCGAACCTCCCAAATCCGACATTGCCCGCTCCAAACCCAAAATCGAATTTTGAAGGGGCTGGATCTGTTGTTTCATGATTTCCGCAATCTGAGACAAGGTAGGCTGAGATGCTCCTGAGGAACGTTCCTCTGCCAATGCCTCGGGCGGGGTACCTGGAGCTGCCGGTGTAGATATCTGCACCTCCACCGGACGTGGCGGAGAGAGATCCAGGCCGTCCATTTCGTGAAGTGGGCTGAAAAGGCGTTGCCGGACTTCACGTTCGCCTAGCACTCCACGCACTGGGGTGCCTGGCTGCCGCGTGCTCGCCGGCATGGCAGGCGTCGATCCGCAATGGCCAGAGAAGAGAGAAACAGATGATAGGGCAAACGGTAGGATGTGAGGGAAAAGTGAACTAAGGGTATCGGATGTGAGCCTTGAGCCAGATTTTTTTACACAAAAAACTGCAGTTGACACACATTACAGATCCCAAAGAATACCAGATGCCAGTGCAGAAGCCAGAAGCCAGCACGCGAGAACCACAACAGCTTGACAGTCTCCGACCACACATTGACCCATAACATGAGAAAGTTTGTTTGCGCCGCCCGCCCCTCGACTGTCACGAGGGAAGGCGTCGCACTGGGCTGCTCTCCACAGAGCACGCCGGGGTGCCCACATCAGCGGCAACGACAGGGGGGAATGGTGCCAGATGCCAGTGCAGAGGCCAGAAGCCAGCACGCGAGAAGCGCAACAGGAACGTGCGGACGCACCTGTCGGGGCCTCTATCGCCCATCTATCGGGGATGTATCCCGGATGCCAGGTCCATGTTTGCCCCCCTGTGCTTCTCCCCCCCCTTCATCGGTTGCCCCTCACCACAGGAGCTGCGGACGCTCGCCGTGATGAGCGCGGAGGAGCTCCGGGTGCAGTTCGCGCTGGTGCGGACGCAGGCCGGCGAGGAGAGCGCGGGCCAGGCGCCGCGTGCCCGCCGGATCTCTCGCGGCCTGTTCGGCCGTTGGCTCCTCGTGCTCCTCCTCCTTCCTGCTCCTGTCTGCCGTGCCGCTGGCCCCGAGCCCAAGCTCCCGATCCTCTGCCCACCTCTTCTCGCCCTCCCTCTGTTCGTCTCCCTTGTCCTCTCCTGCTCGTCCTCCCTTTTCCCGTCCCTTGTTCTCTTCCTCCTTCTACTATCACCGCCGTTCTCTTCCTGCTCGTCCTCACGTCCCCTCCTCCTCTTCCTCCTCTTCCTCCTCTTCCTCCTCCCCCTCCTCCTCCTCATCCTCCTCCTCCTCCTCATCCTCATCCTCATCCTGTCCCATGCGGCGCCGACGACGAGGACGATCACCACAACGACGTCGCCGTTGACGACGGACGAGGGAGGCGACGACGACGACGATGACGATGACAAGGCTGGCCAGGCGCCGCAGTACGCGGCGCGCGAGCAGTACCCGGAGGGCGGGTCGGTAAAATCCTTCCGCGAGGTCGTCGTCGCCGTCGTTTTGCATCCGCACGGGGCCCGCAATCAGGTCGCAGGCCGTCTTGGGGGTAGGGACCGGTTTGGGGCCTGTCTGTTTGGTGGCGGCTCATCGGAGCGTTGCATCTCCTGCCAGCTTCTTCTTTAGAGCGCATATCGTGCGCCAGCGTCTGGTAGTCGATGAGAAAGCGCAGATTGAGCGTCGATTGGCATCGATGTAGCTTCGATCAGCGTCGATTAGCGTAGTAGCTACGACTCGGAAGGGCCAGCAGCATGACACGGGAGGGCGCCACGCGTTGCCACATGATTTTCAATATGGTAGCCTCTTTGGCCGTCCTGGGACCATCCTGGGTTGCACTGTGGGCCTCTAGGCCTTCTTCGGGGTCTCTTGGGGCCACTGGGGGGCCCCAATGGACCGTTGTGGGGCTGTCTTTTGGCCGTCTTGCCCTGTTCTTGGTTCTGTTCGGGTGCGTCTTGGGGCCCTCTTCGGCTGTCTTGGATCACTACTGGAGCCCTGTTGGGGCCCATCTGCGCCGTCACCGGGCTTGTCTTGGACTTCTATGGCGTCATGGAAACCGAAAAAGGGGGACATGCAACAACTGCAAGCATCTTTGCTTTCATCTCCAGGCCTCTTAGAGGCCTCGTGCGAGGTCCTTTTTGGACCTGGAGGATGTCTTCAGGCCCCCATCAATTCCCTCGGGCCGTCTTGGAACCGTTCCCTCGGAACTTAGCGAAAGGGCTACGACGTTTGGTCGGCAGATACTGCGTGGCCGCAGGGGGGGTGGGGAAAACAGCGCCTGAAGGTCTTGGAGGTCTGAGTTGTGGAGGTACGTTGGCACCCCTCCCTATGGCCGTCTTCGCTGGCCGACGGGCCGTAGAGAGAGCCTCGGCCCCTCCAGTGGCACTTGCGGCGTAATTTGACAATGTCAAGAATGAGAGCGGGACCCCCGGTCGTCTTCGCCACGGAGGAAAGGGAAGAGAGTCGGCCCTGGCGTCCCAGAGCACACAGCCCGTCTTGACGTTCCGGGGGCTCCTGCCATGGGAGTCCTGAGAGCGGGGATCCTGGGCACAGCGACGCTACGCTCAGGACACGTAGTTCCGGATTGGGCCGTGCTGGGCTTGTGTTCGGCCTCTTTCTGGGCCCCTTCTGGTCCGCATTGGGGACACTTGGGGGGGACATGGAGCCGTTCTGGCGGGTCTCAGAGCATGTGACATGTGTGTAGCGGTCGTCGGCCGCGCCTGCTCAGCGCTGCTTGTTGCTGCTGCTGCTGCTGCTGCTGCTGTTGTTGCTCCTCCTCTTGCGCTTCCTCCCCTTGTTGCTTCCTTCTCTCTTCTAAGCCACGGGGCGACGCTCTCGAGAAGGTGAACATGTGTAGCAGGTGGCCCCCCGGGCTGCGCCTGCACCGGCAGTCGGCCCCGACCCCGTTCCTCAAATCACCGGGCCTGGCTCCCGCGGAGGGACGCCCAATGGTCTGGCGAATTTGCAGTCAGAGGCTCGGGATTGCGTCGGTTTTCGTATCCCAGACATGATGGCCCATGGCGTCGTGAATAGAAGGACGACAGACGGCTGATTCTTATTTTCTGCTTCTGGGGGCCCTTGTCACGTCAGGCCCTTGGACCGTCAAACCATTACTCTGGAGAGGAAAAAAAACGGATCCTGGGGAGAGGGTCGGGACGTCCGAGGGTCCCATATGACAGAAACCCGGTCGTCGCATGCCTGGGGCCTGTCTCGCAACCTAAAATGGCACCCGCACCCCCGACCACCACGGAGGCGAGGCAGATTCGTCGAGTGGGAGCCGCAGCTTGCAGCGAGATTTTGGGGAGCGGCCCGCGCCCGTGCGCCAGCATCGGGGGCCGCGGAAATCTCACCCCCACCCCCAGTCCGGGAACCCCCAGTCCCGGCACCCCGCCTGCCAGGGATTCCCGTGGGTGCCGCCGTCGGGGGTGGGGGGGCCATGCTGGGCCATCATGTTTGCATACGTGCACGACGCATCGCGCATCCCCCCGTCGCGGCATGTCCCGTGAGTCCGCTCGACCCCAGGAGGGGGTCTCGGTGCACGTCGCGGGCCTCGACGGGCTGGACGACGTGTGGCCGGAGCAGCTGGCGGAACACTTCAAGTTCTGCGGCGAGGCCTGGCTGCTCAGGGGCTGGATCCGCCCATTGGCGCCCCATGCCTGATCCTAAAACCTCCCCGTCGCGGCGGAAATTCGTTTCCCTCTCTTGCTGGGCGGACTGGATGATGGTATGGCTTTTCTCACAGGGAATACTGCCCCCTGGGCTACCCTGCATTCACCCTGCAATGGCCCTGCTGATGATGAGGAGGAGGAGGAGGAGGAAAATGATGAGGAAGAGGAGGAGGAGGAGGAAGGGGAGGATCAGGAGGAAGAGGAGGAGGAAAGAGTGGGAGGAGAAGGAGAGGAGGAGGATGAGGAGGAGGAGGAGGAAGAGGAGGAGGAGGAAGAGGAGGAAGAGGAGGAGAGGCAAGATGAGGAGATCCTGTGACGGCGTTCGCTGCAACTCGGCGACGTCCTGCAGCGAGGCTCAGACTCTGCAGTGCACGCCTTCCCGCACGCGGTGCTCTGGCACCGCTCTGGAGTGGCCTCCGTCCCGTCGTGCCGGCTCACGGGTGTCGGACTGCGGTGTAAGCGGCAACCAGGGGCTCGCCCTGCTCCTGCTCTTCCCCCCCTCTTCCCATCCCCCCCCTTCTCGCTCGTATTGTGTATGCAGGGGTTGGCCGGGCCCCTGATTCCCGATCGGCTCATATCCAGACGGGATACTGACCGCTACATCCCACCGCGCAGGGTGGCACACACTGCACGAACAAAAATGTCTTGCCAGCACTTGTCTCGCTGAGACGTGTTATTCCCCGATGGCCCCAGGGAATCCACCGGCGTGTTAGGGGCGCATCGCGGAGTAAGTGGATCGATTGGAAGTTCACTTTTGGGTGTCTTTGGCCTAATATTTTTTTTGTATGTACGCGCGAGAAAATATGTTCGGCGTCGGCGTTGTTCGAAGAGACGGGGCCGGGGAATCCGAGGGTCTGGCGCCGTTCCAGGGCCCCAGATCTGGCCCATATCGGCGCGCATCCCCCCGCAACGCCGACCAGTGAACCCCTCACATGGTGGGGGTCGATCGAAATCTCAGCACGCGCCGTTGTATATTCCAGGCAGGAAACGACACCCCGACCCCGATAACTGTCGTTTACTGGACGGCCCTGGGCGTTTACTGAAATGCCCTGCCCTGTTCGATTCCTTCCTTGGGTGCCTTTGTTAAACGGATTCGCTTTTCGTGGTGTGTATTATGAGGGGGAGGCATTTTTGTATTGTTTGTTGTTTTGTCTCTCGCCCTCTCTCTCTCTCTCTCTCTATATATATATATGTATGGCGCGCTATGTTTGCAGGATTTTTCTTTTTTTGTGGCGGCATGTTTCTTTTTTTGTGGCGGCGCGCACACGGAGGTGGCGCGAGGGGGGGGGTTTCCACGTAGGGGCTTTCAAGAAGGCGTGTGGGTTCCTTCGAAGGCGGGGGCCTTCTCAGAAGCGCCGGGAGGCTTCTAAGAAGGCTCCTGAGATGCTTCCAGGCGCTTCCAAGAAGGCACACGCCTTGTGAGAAGCCCATCTGCCTTCTTGGAAGGTTACCCCTTCGCGCCATCCCTGCGAGTACGCCGTCAAAGTTTGAGGTCAAGCGGGTGGTCCTCAAAGTGGAGCGGCAGTTCGGCACGCGCCTGGGCTACGGCTATGTCGACTTCGCGGACCAGGCCGGGGCCGAGGCGGCGCTGTCTCTGGACGGTGCGGAGTTCGCGGGCAGGGCCCTGAAGGTGAACAGGAGTCGGCGGCGTGCACAAGGGTGTGGCGCAGGGAGGGGGGAGCCGTCTGAGAAGCCAAGGGGCTACTTAGAAGGCAGAGGCCTTCTCAGAGGGCCCTGGATGCTCTTGCAAAGAAGGCTTCTTGGACAGCTCCTGGGCGCTTCTAAAAAAGGCCCCCTGCCTTCTAAGAAGCCGTTTTGCTTCTTAGCAGCCCCCGCCCCTCCCTCATGCTACCCGCGTGTGCGCGGTGCCACAGGAAGAGGCCGAAGCCCGACATGGACCGCGGCGGCTCTGGAAACCTGGCAGCGAGCACGCCGAACCCTGAGATCTAGGCCTTGCCGTGTTTTCACCCAGGGCATTTTCGCCCGTGTTCGGGCTCCAGGACCATCACAGACCGATGCGGCTCGAACCATGCAGAAGAAAGATTGGGTCTTGAGCTCCAGTCGTGATTTGTCACGATGTTGCAGCTGTTTCGTGACGTCGGATCTCAGAGAAGTGGCAAGGTCATTGGGGGGGCAGCCTTTGAGACGGGCCCCGGGAGCTACACGGAAGAGGCCCTGGCATCCGCCGATTTGATTGTTGTCAGTCAGCGATTTTTTCCCCAGGGCCAGCGTTTCTCCCCAGATCTATTTTGGATCGTGCGGGCTCGATCACGGCCCCTGGAGGCAAAACACAAAGATTAATGCGGGGATTTCAAAGGATCCCATCGTCAGAGATTTGGAGTGCACAATGCAGCTTGTCGGCGTGCGGGGCCCCCCAGCCGGAGGCGGGGCCCTCTCAATTACCAAGGCCGCCCCGCATGTCCTTGCCCACTTGCAAGCCGCCCCGCCCTCAAGCCACCTCACCCTCGCAGGCTTGGGACGATGGGCAACGTTACATTTGAATGGGTACGGGCTCAGGTCTATGCCGCAGTAGTGGGGGGGCTGGAGGGCGTGCAACAGTAGTTACCGTCAGTAGACATTGCATGTGTGCAGTTGTCTGCAGTTAGGACGCAAGAGTTGCGCGTGGATGTCATCGTTTACGCTTGCAAATGCAACCGCTTGCGCCCCTTGCAGTAGTTCGTGGTTCGTGCCCCCCAGCAGCAGGTCGCGTAAGAGTTCGCGCAAGTGAACTTTTGCACCTCACACCGCCCCTCCATTGGCGTTGCCCCCATCGCTCCAGTCTCAATCAAGGCGGGGACGCATCGCCGACAGAGGCTGGCCCACGCCGCTCAGGAACGTGCGGTTTCGCAATGGGGGGCCTGCCGCTGACATAAACATCTGCACGCACACGCACAAACATATATATATATATATGTACAGAGATATCGGCGATCTATCGCCGACTCGAGCTCGATGTTTCTCCCCACTGAGCCATTCCCCCCTAACGCTCCCCCTCACATGAGGAGGAGGAGGAGTAGGAGAACACAAGAGGCAGGACAAGGAAGAGGCCGCATGAGGCAAGAGGAGGACCAAAGGGAGGAGGCCGCGCCAGGGAGATGGAGCCTCGCTCCTGGCGGGTGTCCCAGGAGGCATTCATAACGGCGGGCCCGTCCCTTGGACTCGCGCATGGTGGGGGGTATCCTTTTTGGGAATATGGTAGAGGCCCGAATGTGTCCCTAGCCTTCTTGTTGGCGGGGTTCTCTCTGATTGTACGGGGCGCTTGCTTCACACATTTGGAGCTGGTGGAGGCGAGGATGAGGGAGGGAGGGGTATAGTAGCAGCGGACAAGGAGAACGAAGGAGGATGAGGAAGACTGGGAGAAGGGGAATCGGATCGAATATCCGAGAAAAAACATCCTTAGAATACCACTGTGGGGGGCATGCAAGGAATGGGATGATGATGAGGAGGAGGAGGAGGAGGAGGAGGAGGAGGAGCAGAAGGAGGAGGAGCAGGATCAAGAGGAGGTGGAGGGGGAGGAGAAGCAGGTGGATTTGGCGGAGTGGCAGGTTAGAAAAGGACGGAGGAGCGACAATGAGTTGAACGTGGAGGCGGCGAAGGACAGTAATAATCCCACCAGCCCTCTGGGCGTAGGTGGTCTAGGGGCGGGCCGCGAGGTGTCGGACGGCTCTTTCGGCCCCAAGATAGGAAGCCAAAATCATCGGTTTTACTTTGGTTTTGGCCGATTTTGGAGGCTCCCGAGGGGGGAGGCTAATTGAACCCCCCTTTTGGTTTGATCGACTCTCTCCAAGATGGCCCCAAAAGCGCCCCGAAGGCTCCCTAGAACGCCTCAAGTGGGTCCCAAGAGGCGCCCAGGATGCCCCAAGAGGCGCCCAAGAGTCCTCCAAGAGGCTCTCGAAAGACCCCCAAGAAGTCCTACCAACCCTCTGGGCGTAGGTGGTCTAGAACAGATCCTATTCCACCCATCCCTCTTCCCCCTTGGGGAGGGGTTTACCCCTCCCCCTACCCCTTCCCCTGGACCTGGACGGAGGGTTCCGCGAGCGGTCGGACGGCTCTTTTGGCCCCAAGATAGGAAGCCAACATCATCGGTGTTATTTGGGTTTGGGCCGATTTTGGAGGCTCCCGAGGGGGGAGGCTAATTAGGGAACCCCCTTCCTTTGATCGATCACCTCCAAGATGGCCCCAAGAGCGCTCCCAAGGCTCCCAAGAGCGCCCCAAGAGGGCCTCAAGAGGCGCCCAGGAGGCCCCAAGAGGCGACCAGGAGGCCCCAAGAGGCCTCCAAGAGTCCCCCAACATACCACCAAGAGGCCCCCAAGAGGCTCCCACGAGGCACCCAAGACGGTCCAAGAGCTCCCGGGACCGCCAAGAGGCCCCCACGACGCCCCAAGAGACCTCAAAGAGTATCCCAAGAGACATCCCAAGAGACTCCGCGAGGCATTCAAGAGGCCTTTGACTCTTCTGATCACCCTTATCCTCCTCCTCCTCCCCCTCATTATCACCATCATCATCATCATCACCATCACCATCGTCAAGACCACCACCATCATCGTCATTATCAGCATCTTCAATATCAACATCAACATTATCATCCGCTCATTCCTCCTCCTCCTCATTCCTCCCTCCCCACCCTTATCATCCTCCTTCTCTTCCGCCTCCGAGACGTCCTCCATCCCCCCCCTTGGGGTACGACGGCCTCCCCAGCCCCTTGTTCCTCTGTATGCTGCCCCGCTTCCATGATCACCTCTACTCGCCTGGGCGTCGTTTCTGGATGGGCTGGTGGGGATACGCGAAGCGTCAAGAATTCCAACGAAGAAGGATAATGAGGATGAGGATGTGGAGAAGAGGGAGGAGGGGAAACGGAAATGTGAGGGTCGGGCAACGGGTTCGACCGATGAAGTAAGGACGAACGAGCATGCCAGTGAGTATGAGGAGGAGGAGGAGGAGAAAGTGGAGGAGAAGGTGGGAGGCTGGGAGACGAGGAGGAGGAGGATGGGGCGGGCAGGAGGCTGGGATGATGAGAAGGCGTGCCGTGCGTGAGGGAGGGAGGATTCAAATAATGAAGACGCGGAGGCAGGTTTGGCCACACTCCTCGAGGCAGGCATCGGCCTCGAACGAGGGAGAAGGATGGGGACCGCGACAAGGGCAATCTGTCTTGTGTAGTGGAGCGTCTTTCTCGACGAGGGGGTTGAGAGAGTGGAAGGGTTTGAGCTAGTGAACATGAGGAAGCGGAGAATGAGGAGAGGAGATGGATGGGGATGGAGGAGGGGCATATACGAGAAGGGCGAGGAAGAAGACACTGGAATGGAGAAGCAGAGTCAGGATGATTACGAGGATGCGGATTTCGATGAGTGAGAGTGTGGGGTGGGAGGATGACCAGAGGGAGGCGTGGGCGGGAGGATTCGGAGAGGGGGTGCGGAGGAGGAGGAGCGAGCGAGCGAGCAGAAGCCGAGGGGCAAGGGTGTGCCGATATCGCCAGGGATTGCCAGCATGAGCTGCGGGCCCAACGGGGAGTGGGCTTCCGCCTGAGACCTCCTTGCAATTCACTCACAGGCGACGTTCCCGCTCGAGATCTCTTCGATATGAAAGTACGCTCGTGTGAGTGCGCGTATGTACGATGATGGTATGCTGATGTTGGTGCTGTTTCTGATGCTGATGCTGATGCCGATGCTAATGCTGCGGATGCTGCGGATGCTGCAGATGATGATGATGATGATGATGATGATGATGATGATGATGATGATGATGATGATGATGATGATGATGATGATGATGATGATGATGATGATGATGATGATGATGATGATGATGATGTTGCAAGGTTTTTTGCTGCGCAGTAGGTGCGCACGGACCTTCCACGCGGGTGGATGGTCTGGGGCCTCCTCGCCGCCGCCGCCTCCGCGCCCGCCGCGACCAGCGGCGTGATCGCAGCCTTCTCGGCGTGGGTGCTGCGAGGCGCGGTCTCGGACGCGACCGAGGCGGCGCGGGCGGCAGGACGGGCGGAGGTCCATTGCCCCGACATCCCGGAACCGGTCTGCCACTGTCACTGCAAGTGTGAGGCGGTCTCGGTTCCAAGCGGGGGTCACCAGTCTTGGCAGCTCGTCGGTTGTGCGCTCGTCTGTTTGTTCTTCTCCGTGCTGCAGGTGACAGTCACGTGCGTACAGTATGGCGTTGGTTGGTTTGGCAGTCGGTCCGCCTCCTCCACCGGGACCACGAGTGCGGGGAGCGGACGGTTGGCCGTTGCCGACGGGGCCAGGGGGAACGATGTTACGGCGGGCACTAGTTAGGTACGTGGGCGCGGGCGAGGAGTTGTCACACGAGCGGCAGCTCCTGAATGATATGGTTGGGGGACTGGTCACGATCGCGTCCCCTGACTTTGATGTGTACGACGAGGACATGAGCGACCAGAACGTGTTCGAGACGGTGAGGTTCTTGGGCGATAACGGGGAGCTGCCGCTGGGGTTTGGCGGTGCTCAGCTGCATCGATTTCGGCAGCCGCCGACCGACGCAGAGATAGACCAGTTACTGGCCGAGGCGATCGGCGTCGTCGCCTTCCGTGGCGCACGTGGGGCCGCAGGGGGCGCTGGCGGCCTGGCCGCTGGCGCGCCCGGCGCCGCCGCGGGCGGTGCCGTGCCGGCGGCCCCCGCCGTCGCCTGGGTGCTCGCGGAGCACGCGGATGGGCACAGCATCGGCGAGATTGTGACGATGCCGGCTGGGGCAGTGCAGGCCAACGGCTACGGGCTCATGGTGTTGCCCAACATGCAGGCCCCCCGGCCGGTGCTGGTCAAGCAGTTGAACAACTACCAGGCGGAGATCGATACGTTCTGCGAGGAGCGGATCAAGTGGAACCGAGCGGCGACGGCCACCCACGGCAACGATCAGGCAGTGGGTGACGACGTGCG